TTTTGCTCTCTAACATATGCCTCTATTTATAGGCATTCATGAAGGCTCTTCTTGGTTTGTTGTCAACATTGGTGGCCACCAACTCTAGCTCATTCAACAATGGTGGCTACCAATAGTCAATGGTCAATGGTTGGTGCCTTACATGAAATGGCAACCAACCTAACACAAGAGATGAGCATCTAGTTGAGATAAGAAATAGAGAACTCGAGGGAGATCCTTTAGTAGATATAATGTCTTTGTGTCAGCAACATCATTGCAATCCAGATAAAGAGAGTCATTAGGACTCCGAGATGAGCAGGGGATGTCACGACCGGGGATATTTGATGTAGATAGGCAGAGGACTCAGCCCCTACCAATAGTAGTGCTTGCGGCACCAATAACACCCCCTGTAGTAGCACCTCCACCATACCCAGATATCAGGACCATTAAGTATTACTCTCAGGGATACTGCGGTCACTCTAGTTCGATGAATAAAGAGTTTGAGGAAATTAGGTTATGAGGCATTTATAGAAGAGGAGAATGTTGAAATAGCTGAACAATGGATAGAGAGGTCAATGGATCAAATGTCAGTACTATTAAAGCTTCAAGTGGATTGTGCTACTTAGTTGTTATTGAACAAATCCCAAATATGGTGGAATAATGTCAAAGCAAGACGACCTGCTGATAGGCTTAGATGGAGGATTTCAGGGCAAAGTTTGAGAACCAATATTATTCTCGTTAACATTAAAAGATCAAGGAATAAAAGTTATTGGCTCTTACACGGGGAGATATGATAATATTGGAATATGAGAGGCGTTTCATAACCTCTTTATGTTTGCTTCTGTTTATTTACCTACCTTAGAATTGTTGGTTACTCTAATGTGTGTGTAATTGAACTTGTTAAAACAACTTTAAACTTGTGAGTTTTGCATATTAAAAGCTTGTTTTTTTTTTTTGTATTTTAAAAGTGATTCTAAAAAATTTTGATTTTTTTAAATTTTTAAATTTTAACTTTTTTAGTTATTTTAAATTATTGTAATATATTAATTATAAAAAATAACAAGTAACAAATAACATCCATAATAAATTTAAATTGACTTATTACTAGTTTTTTTTATTAATATAAATATATGAGTTAGCTTTCACACATCTTAATTAATTTTACAGTTCTAAAATTAATTGCTATATAAATCTTTAACAACTGCAAAGCTTGAACGACCACAGGTAAAGCAAATCGGATGGTTCTAATCTTTTATCATTGGCCAGTTAGTTACTAGATAGTTGTTACCAGTCTTTTTTTTTTTTTTTAGATTAACGTGGGTGTCCGGGCCAGCTTGCGCGCACCACGACTAATCCCACGGGCCCTGAAATTAACGACCATGTAAGCCTTCAGTGGCCATCATATGAGCAACCAAGGACTCGAATCTTTTAATAATATTGATTTGCGAGAGATTCTTGTTAAATGTTGATCAGGTAGACGATAGAAGTCAATACCCGTTCCAACAGAATAACCAAACGAGAGAAAGAAAAGGTAATATCCACGAACATACATGTGATGTGAGCTGAGAGCAGAAAGGGAGCGGAGACAGAGATAGCCGTTGGACACGTGAGAAGTGGGAGACTTATTATTATCATCATCCATTCCGCATATTCTCCACATTTTTTTGGTTAGCTTCCTTAGCGCTTACCATTTTTATTTTTCTTATTTTTTAAAACTATTACCGTAATATATTATTATGCCAAACCAAGAGACGAAGTCCCACTCTCGTTTTCTTTACATGTATCTAGTCACTATTTATTTATTTTTTTAGATAAATTTTAAAAATATATTTAACTTGAAAAGGATAAAAATAAAAAAATTATAGAAAACAATAATCTTAATATATTTTTAAATGAAACGGCATCTAATTTTTAAATTAGTGTTTAATAAAGTTTGATTTTAATATAACTTCTCAAGCTGGAATTTTAAAAAATACATTCTGGACGATATTCTTAGGATTCAGTTGGAAAAAAGAGTGTGCATGGTGCATTGTATGTATGGGATGGTAGCATGAAGATTGTGATGATGATGATGATGATGATGATGATATCTAACTCCTCGGTATGTATCTTTATAATCCAAATTATATTATTTATCTATGAAATATAATACAACCACTCCCTCCGTTTATATTTCTTAAGAAAGAAAAATAAAGTAAAGTACTTGGTACTAAATACGTGTTGTCTGTACGTGCAAAGGAAGGGTCAAGTCAACACGAAGAGAGAGAGGCTTTATGAATAAAATTCTATAAATACCCCTCCTTCTCCTAATACAATCCTGCCATTCACCTTCATTTTCTTGCTTTTCTTTTAATTTTCGGTCCGCGTATTCTTATTGTTAGAGAGAGAGAGAGAGAGAGAGAGAGTGCGTGTGTTAGGTGTAAGTTAGTCTGTTTTGCAGGTGAGGAGTGGTAGCGTCGTCGATCGGTCATTTCTTTTGGCCTCAGCTCTTCTTCTTCTTCTTCGATCTCAACTGCTTGCTTCAGATCAGATCAGGTCAGTTTTTATTTATGTTTTTTCAACTTATTATTGTTTCTCAGTTATTTTTTTATCATCTTCTTCTATAAACTCCTTTTTTTTTACCCTGTAAATCTTCCTCTTTTTAAAATAATCGTAATCTTAATCTTGTAGCTCAGATCTGTTTTGTTTTGTTTTAGCATGTTTGAAACGTGAAACGCGCAGACACAATTTTCAGTGTCTGTTGGGTGTTTGTGAATAAGATGGTTGGAATTCGAATTCTTGTTGGAGTCCCCTTGCCTGTTCTTTTCTTCCTACAGAGAAGGGCATAGAATTACTTTCCTTTCAATTTCATTACTGAATTAAAGGGTGAAGATTTGGGGTATATAAAAAAGCCAGAGAGGACAACCTGGACCCTCTTCTTTCGAGCACTACTTCAGTTACATCTCAGTTGAGCTTGACCTCATTCTGTTGGTGGCTTTGCAGAACCCTTTCAAGCTGCCAATGGAGGTTTTTGGTAAATCCATGATGTCTGCTCCTGCCAATGTTGTTTATCTCTCCACTATCCTTGGCCTTGATGGCCCAATTCCTGTCCACAAATGTGACTGCAAGTGTCAGAATGAACATGTCCTTGCCAACATGTACCGCTGCAGCCTCACTGGTCTCACTCACATCTGTGACAAGAACTGTAACCAGAGAATTTTGTATGACAACCATTCTTCCCTTTGCCGGGCTAGTCGCCAGATTTTCCCCCTTTCCCCAGCTGAGATGCAGGCTGTCAGAGGAGTTCGCAGGAAGCTCGATGCTGAGAATAGCAGTGCTCCCACTGATAGCTGTTCTTTCAAGCGCAGGCGTGATGCACAGTTTCATCCTTCTCCTTTCGAGAGATCTTTCTCTGCTGTCAGTCCAATCTGCAGCCAAGTTGGAGATGGCATGGATATGAGCTAGATATAATATATCGTATACTTGAAATAACCCTTTCTCCTTCTATTCGTAATGTTCCTTCGAAGTTTTTCCTTTATATGTTTCATGAACGAATATGGATGACTTGGAACTTAATGTTGGGTAATTATTACGATGGACCATGAGAGTCCACCTCTATGTAGGAACTTATATTTACTTTTCATGTGTAATGCAATTTAGCGGTTCCAATAGCGTAGCTTGACTTTTGATAGGGGATCTTGAACTCACTCCATCCACTCTCTTATGAACCTTGAGTTTAATTTAGTTTCATTCAAGCCCTCCTCTTCTTTTTTGAACTCTTAACAAGCTACAGGTGCATTCAGGTCTTTTGGAAGACTTGTATAGTGTAGTATTGATTTTTAGCAGTATGATTTGCTTCAATTTGCAATTGTTTTGTGTGTGTAGCGTGTGTTGATCTGTTGTTGTGGATGTGCGTATTTGGTGCACGTTTGTTTTGTTACCTTTATATATTGATTTTACTGAGCTTCATCGGTCTCTGTTTTTGCTGTTTGGGTTTATGTGTTAATTTTTCTGTGCTTTATGATATTGGATGGTGGTTGTGTTTGGGTGCTGTTGGTTATGCAGCATAGTCTTATCAGGTTATTCAGTTCAAGGGTCTCGTTTGCATTGTTCTGTAGTCGAACTTACTTGCTTCTTTGCTTTATTTTGTCTGGTTTATTGCAGGCTGAAGACAAATATTGCGGTGATTACTTGCTTTTCTTTGTTGTTGTTTACTTAGTTTTGCTTTTCCTATGATGAATGTTTTCCTGAACATGCTTTTAATTTTGCAGGGGTTGGAGTTTATACAATTCAGGAGACTTTAAATATACTTTCTGTTGTGATTAATGAATTCTTTTGTTCGAGAATATTTCTGACAATATAAAGCCTAAAAGGGAGTTTATTTTATCCTTTACAGGAATTCTGTCATTTCTTGCTATGTTGAATGATGCTGTGTAGAACTGCTGATGGATTGAGAAGATGCTGCACTTATCTGCAGTTCACCCCTCCATTGTTGAAGAATTGAAATTGAGATACATGATCGTCTTATATTGACCACTGGTTTGTTTTTTAACAGATCAGCGCCTCTGCTTTATGATACAGGTATTTCAAGGTCTAATTTCTTGCTTATCAAATGATGTTGAGTTGTAGGACTGATTTTTCTTAGACCCTACCTTATTGTCTGTTTTAGTTGAGTGCCTACTACCTACCTTAACAATCGTGTTTTGTCTATTAACGTGGCAGATGGAACTTAATTGGTAGGATTATCGGACTGTGAATGCGGAGGCAAAAGGAAGTTTTATATTTTTGGTGAGCTTTGAAGCCTTGAAGAGCAGCTAGCTAGGTTGTAAGAAGCGCTGGCTTTAACCTCGTGAATGCACCGATGCCAAGCAAAGCGCTGGCTTCAGCATCAGGAATCAAGATGAGAACAGTCTGCAGGTCCACATGGGGCTACCCCTATCATGCTTACTTGTTAATGGTGTTAGAGGGAGCTGAGCTTTTTGTATCTGGGCTGGTCTGAAGCTCCTGAACAAGCACTTAGCGTCCCTTTCTGGTCTGAAACTACCCTGTTGTCGCCTCTTTTTTTTTCCCAAATGGGGGGACGAGTCTTCAGATTGTTGCATTTTGCATAAGCACACTTGTATCCTCGAATTCTGATAATGGCCAAGAAAGAATGCTTTTCCTTGTTTCTCGTCAATTTGACCAAGCATTAACAAGTTAATGCTTCTTGTATGTGATCACGATCTGGTGTGCTGGCCATTCATATCAGCGATGAATAAAAGGTGGTTTTAATATCGGGTTTTCAAAAGGAGTAATATAATCACAGATTAAAAAGAGGGAGAGGGAGAGGAAAAGGAAAACAGAGAGAAGAAGGGCGAGGGTTGTGATCTGAATCACATGATGGTGTTTGGACTGTGATTGAAGAAGCCCATCAAGGCAATTCCCTTCTTTTTCGTTTAGGTATGTTCGTCGTATTCTCTTTTATGTTTCTTTCAGTTGAAGAGAAGCGCTCAGAATATTATTTTGCTTCATTTGGGGGAGACGGGAGCGGGCGTGACTTTGTTGTTATCATCTAACATGTGCTATGCAGTTTTATCAAGGAAGGAATTGCTTCGGCATGAGGCCATCTGCGTAAAAAGAAAATACTAAACCCAGAAAAGTGATATTGCGGCTCGGGGCTCAGCAAAGCAACGTAATTCCTCCCCTGTTAGATTCTCATCCCCCATAACTAGGTGTTAGCCCTTGTAAGCAAAATGCAAACCCTCTGCTACCCGTCTCTCCCGAGCGAGCCTGCTTTGACAAACCACGAACATCCCACCAGAATTCTCATTATGCCAGTTAAGATACCCCGGACGGTACTATTTTCCCCTCTAATTTTCTTTTCTTTCCTAATCCGTGTTTCGTACTCCGCGTTTACAATAACAAACAACTGCCCCTATACCATATGGCCTGGTACCCTAGCAGGTGCAGGCACCCCGCAACTTGCAAGTACTGGATTTCGCCTGGATTCTGGTTACAGCATGCGCATTCCAAGTGTCCCAGGGTGGTCAGGACGGATATGGGCAAGGACAGGTTGCACATTTGATGAGTCTGGAAACGGCACCTGTCAAACTGGGGACTGCGGGGGTAGGCTGGAATGTAATGGCATGGGTGCTTCTCCACCCGCATCGCTCTTTGAGGTAACCCTTGGCACAGGGGATGCCAAAGATTACTATGATGTCAGCCTCGTGGACGGCTACAATTTGCCTCTTGTTGCCGCACCTGTTGGGGTTCATGGTGCGTGCAATGCCACTGGCTGCCTTTCAGATATCAACATGGGTAAGATTTTCCAACTTCAACAGGTTTTCATTAAGAACATTCTTCCTCCTCGGTAACAAAATGACCTCATCCCCTGAAACTTCTCATCCCTTGAAACTTCAATAGGTTGCCCAAAGGAACTTCAGGTGGCCGGGGGTGATGTTGGAGAGGGAGGGGTGGTTGCATGTAAGAGTGCATGTGAGGCCTTTGGGCTGGACCAGTACTGCTGCGGCGGGGAGTTTGCCAACCCAACCACATGCCAGCCCTCCTTTTACTCGACCATTTTCAAGCGAGCTTGTCCAAGGGCTTATAGCTATGCTTTCGACGATGGTACCAGCATTTTCACTTGCAAGGCTGATGACTATGCCATCGTTTTCTGCCCCCCAGCCAAAGGGTAATGCTTCTTTACCTCTTTTATTTATTTCTTCTGCTGGGATCACAAAAAGATCTTGTTTTTCCTGCTTCTATCAAAGAAATGTAATAATTACGAATGGATCTCTGACACAGGATAAAGAAACCTGATGGGACACACGCAGCTACCATGATTCCCAATCCCGGTAATGGGGAGACAATGAAGCTGGTTTCCTCCTCAAACATACTCCAGCCTCTTCCACTGCTGTTCCTTCTTCTCATCCTCTATCTAACGTTATGAACATGGATGGAAGCCTTGCCAGGATGGAGCAATTCCACAAAACACATTCTTGCATGTATCTGAACGGTGAACTGCACAAATCTTGCGCAATGATTGGCCTCAGAATACACTCAGCCAAGAGCCCTAAGAGCTATTCCATATAAATGCATCCTTTCGCACAATGAAGTTGTAATAGAATCGGTTCACAATTCTATTAGAGCATGTGAATCAAGGCAGCAAATTAGCTGTCAAATTGAATTAGTTTATAGTGGTTCTATTGTAGAAGCGGCAAATTGGTAGGTTGCGACCAGACACCAATTTATTGGTATGAAAAACGAATGTAAAATAACCATCAGTTTCTTCCAAAATAAATTAAATAAACTATGATGATTAAATCCAGCAAGTAAAGAAAACTAATCTAACTGTGATTTCTATATCAACCTCAATCAGCTAGGTTTTATCCGGTCATTAATGGTTCATGATTTATGCAAGCATGTATGATATATCATAAGATGCACGCGAGTGTCTTATATTTTAGTCTTGGCTTTCTTCGATAACTGGGTTTTCTTTCTTACCTTCTTTACTGGCCATGGCTTTCCTCCTGCAGTTTTACCTTTCTTTCGAGCCACTCCCTGCATCCAAACTTTCATAAATAAACACAGACGGAATATATTATAAAGCTAAGCAAAAGCACGGTTAAAGACATTGAGTTGTTAGAAAAGGGTTAGAAACATACAGATGATCTCTCGGCTTTTCTCTTAATCTTTCCATTGGATGGTTCTTCAACGTCCATATTCTGATCAGTTTGATGAGCAGTAGCCTTTGTTATCTTGTCAGTCTCATCTTCATAAAAGAAAGAAAACCCCCCCAAGCGTTCCTGCTCATACAAGTCATTTCAGCGAACTTCAAAAGTGAGTCTTTTTTTTTTTCAAAGGAATATTTCTCAATAAAGCAATTACATTAAAGAAACCATTAAATAAAACCCGAACCTTCAACTGTAGTTTCATAAACATTAGACTGCGTTTTAAGCTGAATGAAGTCATTCATGGTAGCCTCTATCTGATCAAGCACAAGAACAAAAATAATAAGACAACCATCTTATCTGCATAGAATGAGTAATCTGAAGAGCAAATAGGGCACACCTTTGCCTTGGATTGACCAAAGCTAACCTGAACCGGAAGGGAAACATCCTATATCACGCAATCATCCCTTTCAAAAGTAAAACGTAGAACAGAACCACGTAAATCATGGGGACCAATATAGGGGACGAGGAAGTGAAAAGAGGGGAGGGTGTTAAATCTGCAAATAAAAGAATTCAAGTAGAGATCCCTGACATACAACGTAAAATGCTCTGGAAGGAACTGTTGTTGTTCTGTATATTGTGCCTGAAAAAATAAAGTTAACAAATCAGAAGCAAGCTCTTTATGGAGGCATGCATAACAAAAAAATCAAGGAAGAGGTTTTTAAGGTGGATACCGAAACTGAGCCAAAAATCAAGCAGAGGTGAAAAACGAGAGTGAAAAGTAAAGCACATAAGACACCAAGTAAAATGGTCAAGTAGAACGTAGGCAACATCAACATGATTGCTGTGAGCAAAATCAGGGAAATCATGCATAATGATTCTGAAGGGAAAAAAACCTTTTTATTTCTGAAAATCTAATGCACTCTGCCACCAAGAAATGGTTGAGCTCTCTTCTGGTGCTATTAGAGGGGAAATATTTGAAAAATCCTACCCATTTCATCATAACAAAACAAAAGATACCTTTCAAGTCTAGGTGCATTTCAGAATCTCCAGATGGGGTATCTGGAATCACTGGTCGGCCAACAGCCCCCATTTTCACCACTTCGATCAATGGATTCACCTTCACACTCAACAAGTGCCTGTACCAAAAAGCTTTTAATTAATCACTAATGTGCTTGTGCATGCATGAATAAATTTATGTACTCATTTCTTTATATACATAGATTTATATATTTTGTGGTGAAATCACAGAACCACCAAACTAGAAGCAAGCTCATTATTAAGCAGGGTGGTACAGGGTCCAGAAAACAATGTCTAAGGACTCACCAAGAGACCAAATAACTAAGCAATACAAAAATAAGCAGCCGGCAGTGCTTACTTCGCTTCTTCCCTGAACTGGACTTCTCTCATCCCAGGACTTTAAACCTTGATTATTTGAATTTCTACAAATTATTGAGAGAAAAGACCTAACAATACATAAAAACTATGTCTATTAATAACATATCCAAGATAGCACTTTGAAGTTAGGAAGTTAAATGATATCTATAATTAAAGCAGATGAACAAGAAGTGATAAACAAGACAAATTGGAAACCTACCTTGGAACTCTGGACTTTCTCAGAAAGCACCAATGGTAACCTTGATGTAGAAACCTGCATGCTTATGTTACTGGGTGAATTGAGTGAAGCATGGGCAAGGGTTAGAAATATTGGTTACAACAGATAATTCTTACATGAGCATTGATAAGCTTCTCAGATGTGACTTCCTCAGTAATTTCCACATCACCATGGTTTCCTGTAATGTCAGTCAAGCACATTCTAAGAACATGTGAGAGAGAAAGATCTATGCATCAAATTTGGAGAGAAGTAAAATTCACCACAAGTGCCCCATTCTCCTTGTACCTTTTCTTCGCACATTATCACTTTCATTCATCCCCTTCTTTCCTTTCTTTGGAGCATGACCCTCTCCTTTTCGAGTTTTTTTCAGAGATTTACTTTTTGAGGCCTTTTTTTACCGGAGACACTTCTCTACAGTGCAAAGAAATGGAATCCTCATCGTTTCCACACTCTTCAATTATACTTTTTTTGACATCCCATATAGGGCTATTATCATGACAAGACTCAAGAGTCCAATGATAATGCCCAAACTGAATGGTTTGATGCCTGTTAGCATCATTGTGCTTGTCAGTATATCAAGCATATAAATAGCAAGCTAGACATCTTCCAACGAGTTATGTGATCATTAACTCTAACAGCATTACCTCATCTAAGCTGCATGTATATTGATTCATCACAATATATAGAAAGACAGCTGAATAAATAGAGATACAGAGAGTTAAATTCAGGGAGATCTTGGAGGAACTCTGACAAATTAATTTGATAAAAGAGAATATTAGAACGGACATAACGACAGTGTAGGCAGCACATGAAGGCCTTAGAGAACTAAATATTCAAAACCAGTAACCATGTTAGGGCTTCCTATTAAAGAAACATTCCGTACACCAATAGTGGTAGGAAGAAAGTCTGAAACTAGTTGACTGTATACAATATCATTTTAATGCAATGAATGGTTAGAAATTAGATATCAGCATCAAAATTCGTCACACCAGAATGAGCATAACAGAGGACATTAAGTGTGGGGGAGGTGGCATGCCAACCATCTGATTCATTCATTTATGAAACCAAGAAGAATGTCACTCTTAGAAACACCTCTAGCTTTTAGCAGAAAATTAAAGGTGAGCTCCCTCTGTTTTCTGTTTGAAACCAGCCACAGTGTTATCTAACATAGATTTTTGCAATATATAAAAGCTTTCGTTGGCATATAACTATTAAACGACAATATTCCTTCACTATAGCAGCCATGTATAGCTAGCAGAAGCAACATTTCTTATGTGATATCCAGCTTTGGACAAAATTCTCCCACAAACTCAGTCTACTCCCAAAACAGGCCATGGTATATACTTCACAGCTTTGTGTACTGATCAATCAGAAACTATTGGCAGAAAACTAAAACGAACACAAAAGAAGTGCTGGCATAAATGTTCTTACATGAGGTTCTTCAGTATGCTTCGCAGATGTGCCATCCTCAATATCTTGCCCATCATCCCCGTCCCCTGAATCATCAACAGAAAAACAAAGTGCATTACTTGAAAGCCAATACTGCATGAATTTGAAGGGGAAAAAAAAAAGAACCATTGAAGAAAACAGAAGAAATTGTGAGAAAAACCACCATATCTAAGGCTTATCACAAGGGATGGTACTGTATCTACCATTGAGGAAGAAACCAATAATGTTTCGCTAACATAAAATGTATTGTTTCACCTTTTCTTTTCTTTTTCTTTGCTCACCCTTTTGATTTGGAAATCTTATTCAACGGTAGTTGGAGCAACTGGATGGCTATCTTCGTTGAGGACGGAGAATCAACCCCCTGAAGGTAAAGAAAAAGATTTATTTTATAATAATATATTTAATAATATAGAATATTTTTAATTTATAATAAATATTCATTTTAAATACATACCTATTATATAAATAAAAAGATTAATTGATAAGTTTAAAAACTAAAATTGAAATAACAAAAAAATAGCTAAATTTAAAAAAGAGATGTTGGTACAGTTTAAATCGAAATACTGTTTGGTAATTGGGTCATATTTGAAACTATAAATCTCAAATTTAGGTCTATTTTATATGGATGGAAAGATAAAATATAGACCTATAATTTTTATAGGAGTCCAAGATTTAAAAAGGTTATTTTCAAATTCAAATTGTAAGAACAACGAATCTGTCCTACAGCCCGAACATTGTTCAATGTTTGACTCATATCAGGAGTTTTAGAAGTCCAAATGACCTCCATTTCTTTTCTGAAAAGCTAAGATAATTTCCTATAACTTTCACGTTTTCAAGTAGTTCCAATTCTAACATTATCAATGATATTTTTGGTAGATAAAAGAAGATAAAGATTATCACCAAGTCAAGAGTTGGTCACCTACTCATCATTTAGTCATCAAATCAATAGTTTTCAATTTTATCCTATAAAAAGAGACATTTGCTATGCATTTAGGCATCTTGGTTTCCAGATCAAGATCATGCTCTTATTTTCTCTTTTTGTATTTTTATAATACTTAAGTTTTATTTTCGTTAATATCTTGTTTATGCCTTTCATTTTCTTTCCTTTACTTAGTTAACTTTTATCTTATTTATATTCTTATTTTGTTTATTTATATTTCTCTCTTTTATTATGTTTAGTTAAGTTTATTATGTCAATGTGAAAAGGTTACACTAATAGTGTAAGAATAAGTATAATGTAAACTTAACATGGACTTTAATATTTGATACTAACATGTTTTGTATTTGTTATCTTATTTACTTTTTAATATTTTACTTGTTAAATGACTAATCTAGATTCATGTTGTATAACACTTGGTACAACAAATACTTGGTACTTTCATAACCCATACTATATGGTATAACCGACACCTGAGTTATGAAAGGAACTTGATTTGTTGTTAATATAAGTTATAATTATAAATATCTGACAACATTTACAAGTATTAGCATGATCAAATAAGATAACTAATATAATAATGTTAATAATTTATAATCTGATTGGAATCTACTTTGTGTGTGGATTCCAATTGAATAATAAGAATTTATATCATACTTGTTTGACATATTATTAGTGGATCCTCTAACCTTAACAGTTATCATTATTTAATCTTTACATTGATCTTCCATTTCAAAATTTTCATTAACTTCTTTTTCTTCTTTATTATTATTATTATTATTATTAGTAGTAGTAGTAGTAGTAGTAGTACTATTATTATTAGTATCAGTATTATTACTATTACTATTACTATTACTAGTATTATTATTATTATTATTATTATTATTATTATTGTTATCTATAATTTATACAATTAATCTTCATGTGGTTTGATTCTAATCTTTTTGAGTTATTTATTATTTTAATATTTCTATATTTAAAAGAAAATATCAATTTTTTAGTCATGTCATTAAAACTATTAAGGAATGTTTTAGTCCGTTAGAATTAGAAACATCAAAACTTGTATGCAATTGTGACGAAATGACACATAATTATTGGTTAATGTTCTTAGTTGCTGGTTGAGAAAAAAGAAAAAGAAGAGACCTGGAAAGAAGGGAGCTAGTTTGTAGAATACTGTGAAAAATTTAAAAATATTTAAATGTTTATTAATTATATTAAATTTAATTTTTAATTGTTATATATTTTATTTTTATCTTTTAAATTTTAATTTTTATATTAATTTTAGTTCTTAATTTTTTATTATTTGTTTTTCTTTTATTTTTTAACTAAAATATTTTATGAATTAGATTTTATATTTAATACATAAAATATTTAGTTAAAAATTTTAAAATATTTATTTATTATTAATTATATTAAATTTATTTATTTATTTTTATATCTTTTATCTTTTAGATTTTATTTTTTATTTTTTATATTAATTTTAGTTCTTATTTTTTTTAACTAAAATATTTTATATATTAAATTTATATTTATTTTTTTATTATTTATTTTATTTGAAATAATTTATAAAATAATTTATAAATTTTTTTATCATAATACTTAGTTTTTTTTCTTGGATTGGATTGTTATTTGTTTTTATTTAAAATAGTTTTTAAAATTAAATTATTTTTTATTTTTTTATTTTTCTATTTATTAGATTTAGCCTATGTTGTTTTAATTTTTTTTAATATCAATAACCTTTTTTACTCATTTTTTATAGTTAAATAATAAAAAAATATTTTTTAATTTATTTTTTTAATACTATCAAATATTAAAAATAATTTAATTCTGAAGAATATACTTTATATAAAAACTATTTTCTAGAATAAAATTACTTTTAAGTAATTTAAGTTATTAAAAAAAAACCAGAGGAAAATCGATAACACCAAAGCTGTAAAAAAAGGAAATGAAGGAATAAAAACAAAAGAAAAGGAGAGTAAAGTCTTTCTCCTCTCCCGTATCTTTCTCTATCCACATAGCTCGAAGCAGCAGCGGCGGCAACAAAGTGGTAGGAAAAAAAGAAATGGAGCAGCAGGGTAAACAAGGAGTAATTGTGTCCAAACTCCTACCCAATCAAGACCCAGTTAAGTTCGTACAGTTCAAGTATAAGGAATTGGAGGATGGCTTTAAGTCTTGGTTGTCCAAACAGTCTTTGCTTGTCGAGGCTGCCGTTGTCACTGCCACAAGCGGTGTTCAAGGCGCTGCCATCGGAGCCATAATGGGCACCATCACCCCTGACATCTCTTCCTCTATGCCAACTCCTCCTCAGGCTCCCCTCAACCCTCAAGCCATGGCATCTCTGAAGCAAGCTCAAGTACCCTACCTGTCTCACATACCTCACTCCATGCTTCTCGCTCTTCTTATTTATTTTTCTGTTTATTTCATTTATATTTTTTTACAAAAGGGTTTATCTTTTTACCGCACTTGAATTGCTGTGCTTTGAAATGGGTGAAGATTAATTACCCTAAATGAATATCTTAAAGAGATATACTTTTTTCCACAACATAGAATTAGTTTCATCATCAAGTTACTAGGAGATTGTTATGAAAGTGTATGAGTTAAATAAAATAGGGTTTTACTCTTTACTGCACTAGAGTTAATTTTTCTGCACTTTCTCTCCTTAACATGATTGTGGGGTGGCAAATGTTCTTTGCTTCTGAATTCGTATATTTTGGTAGAGTTTCTTCCTTTGTTTGTTTTAATGCTGTATGCTCTTGGAAATTGGAATACTAGCTCACAAGGTAGATGAGGATCCCTGTGGCAAAATCTACCAAGCAGTTTTTGCTTCTAGTAATGAAAATGGTGACTTTCTTTTTGGTTCATATGAGTTCTATGTCTCACATACTTTCTCTTGAAACTCGGTTAAGCATTCCATGGAAGAATGTGGTGGAGGGGGGGGGGGGGGGGGGGGGGGGGGGGGGGATCCTTCAGAATTGGTTTATCCTTGGAGTTATACTTCCAGTCAATATGTTGAAGTAGATTGGTTATTTGGTGACTGGAATTAATCGAGACTGCTTCCATGAAGAGTTTGCTGATGTTTAACAAACAATATGCTTCACCTACAGGCTTTAGCCGGCGGTCCCTTAATACAAGCTCGCAACTTTGCTGTAATGACTGGAACTAATGCTGGTATAGCCTGTATCATGAAGAGATTGCGTGGCAAGGAGGACGTCCAATCTAGGTTAACTTTTTCTGCATCCCTTTTCCTTTGTTTACGTTCCTTTTCAGACAAGAATCTTTTTTCATGTCTTCGTGTTCTCTTTAAGAGGATGATCGACCTCGTAAACTGTTGTTTTAGTTGAATTTGATTTAGCATTTTATGGTGACTCTCTACACAATTGAATCCTAAGAACTACAGATTTATAAACTAAGCTGCACAGATATTAGTAACCAAATTTTTAATCTATTTATTGTATGCTTCTAAAGGAATCTATTTGAAAAGGGAAGAGTTTGGGTTTGAATTCTATAGTTGTACCAAAAGAAAAGACATAGGAATAGAATAGATGGATTAGAATGCCTGAAAATCTTGCAATGAATGGATCAATGCCTGATTTAATGTGTCTGTCAATGATATATCGTTATTGTCATGTATTAAACTCATCTTCTCATTCTACAAACAGTATAGATCTTACTCAGCAAAATTAGGTCTTGAAAGGTAAAAAGATTCATGGAAATTCGAAATCAGTGTAGGAAATGGAATGCTTTTGTGGTAGGATACCATATATGGCTGGAGATTGGGTAAAAAAATTTCCTTTAAGTTTCAAGATTTCTTATCCCAAGGTGTTTTAAAGTCATCCTATCTTTCACTATTCAAATATTAATGAAGCCTACAAAAATGTATCCATGCCTTCACAGCCTTAGAGTATTCAAGTGTATTCATGGCCTCTCCAAATATTGTTCGGTTTCTTTTTTCTTTTTAACTCTTGGATTAAAAGACATGCAATATGTGTCTGGAGTCATCTGACCCAAATTTCTATTGGAGTATTTCAAGCATGGTTGATGATTACCTATCCCACTAAATATTATAAATTTATTGTTGCAGCATGGTCGCAGCTTTTGGTTCTGGTGCCATGTTCTCATTGGTGAGTGGCATGGGTGGCCCAAACAATGCTACAAATGCAATCACTTCTGGACTTTTCTTTGCATTAGTTCAGGGTGGTCTTTTCAAGGTAAAGATTTAAGGAAAGATTCATCTTTCTTTTCAACAGAATCACATGCTACTTTCTGTTTATTTCTTTTCCCATGCAAGTTGTGAGTATGGATTGAAAAAGTTTTCTATTTGATATTAGTCCTATCAAAAATATTTCTTGCATTCATATAAAGAAGCAAGCTGTTCTGGAGTCTTGTTTCTATCTTGAGATCATTCTTATATTCTGATTTTAAATCATGTTCTCTGACAACTTTCTGCTGGTTTTACCCTTGCCAATGCTGATATAAACTTTTATGTGATTTAGCTGGGGGAGAAGTTCTCTCAACCACCAACTGAAGATTTGCACTATGCCAGAACAAGATCCATGCTAAGTAATCTTGGCCTCCAAAATTATGAGAAGAATTTTAAGAAAGGGTTGTTAACAGATCACACCTTGCCTTTACTGACTGATAGGCAAGTTGTTAGATGATCTAGTCTTCATTCACCTTATCTACGATCAATTTGCTTTTGTGTTCTATCAATATTTATCACGTCATATATCATTATTTCCTTAAAAAAGTCTGGTGATCATTGATTGCTACGTTGTGTGTTCGGTTACAGTGCTCTTAGAGATGTGAGAATCCCACCTGGACCAAGGCTTCTCATTCTTGATCATATTCAAAGGTCTGCCTCATCCTCTATCCACGACACTATCACCTTTGGTTATTGTATTTTATCTGATTCTGAATAATATTTTGTGTTTAGGGACCCGGAGCTGAGAGAGAAGACAGGGAAGCCATGATTGATGATGTGTTAAGACAAATGGTTTAGCTGTGAGAGAGCACTTTGTTTTTAATACAACAGAGATTAGGGGGAGTGGTTGTTGTGTCTTTAATAAGATAGCCTTTTTCTCGTGAACTATCATCCTTCGAATTCAATTGCTGTTCTATCATCTAAGGAATTTCTTCGTTAACATCCTAAAGCTTTAAATTTTGTTTAAGGTTTTGATTGCTGTGGAGCCTTGAATTGAATGATAATACGCTTAGCTTGTATAGTGAATGCAGTGGTAGTGTCTAAACTCTAATCTGGCGTTATATTTGGTTGAAGTAACCGTGGTAGCATGTGTACTGTGCTTAACTTTTGGGAAGCAAGGTTTTGCATGGAACTGCATGCCACCATCTCTTGCGGCATTGTTTTTGGAGTGTTTAATGAAGGGGTTGTGTTTTAAATGTTTTTTATTTGAAAATATATTAATTTTTTTTTATTTTTAAAAAATTAATTTTGATATTAGCCTATTAAAACAGTTTGAAATATATAAAAATATATTATTTTAAAATAAAAAATGTATTTTTTTTCAAATGTGTAAGAGGGTGTTTTTAGTCTCTATCCTTGAATCCTTATCACAAGAATTAACTTTTTTTTTTAAAAAAATTGAAAGTTAAATACAAATTGAATGGGATTTTTCCTTTTTGATTTTATCTCGACTCCTTTGAACAAGGTAGCTAAACCATTCTTTCTTCAAAAATTGAATCCAAAATATGTCTTAGAAAAGTTAATCACCAATGTTCTTCATTTCTGAGAGAATAGTCTAGTCTGTAGGGATTTTTTTAAAAGATGGATTCATCAATAGTAAAAAGCCTATCTGAAAGCCTGTGCTTGATAAAAGTTAAGATTTAAAGTGTCATGGCCTTTCAACAAGGCAACTAAACTTAATGGTATTTTAATTTAAATTTAAAGATAAATTAACTTAAAATTAAATAATTAAATTGTTGGCTTGAGTTATGGATAGAATTAATTTCTTTTAGTGTAAAAAAAATTCAAGCATAGTTGATGTTTTTCTAGTAGAAAAAAAAACATTATAGAATTTAACTTAATGTGATCAGCTTGACTTGACAAATCCAAAAACAATATAAACAACTAGTTAGAACATAGTTTGACTACAAACAAATTAAAAATGATATTTAAAAAAAATATTAAAATAACAATATGTTAGATCGAATCGGGTTAATCCAAGTTAACCTTTCAAATTCATGACCCAAGTCATCAGACTATGATAACTCTATATAAAATAAATCAAAATAAATTATAAAATTCAATTCTTGATAAATCTATTGTTGAATGACAAAGTTGGTAGGAACTCTATCTAAAAAAAGGACACAATCAAACGATCTAAGTCTACTTGTGTTAACTCGTAAAACTTGTAATTTAAGTCAAAAGACTAGAATAACTTTATATAAAACAAACTAAAACAAATGACAAAGTTTAACTCATAATAAACCAAATGTTGAAGATATTATATGATGAAATTGAAAAAAAAAAAAGCAAAAAAAAAAATAGTATTCACAAAATAGAACGAAAATAATGAAACTAGAACATCTCAACCGAATTTGGGTCAAAAAATCCAAAATAAACCAAGATTTAGAGCGAGATAATACTTATTTATGATTATTCTATTTTTTGAAACTGTATGAGATATACTAATCATTTTAAGTGAAATGAAATGAAATTAACAACTTTAGTCTATAAGAATAAAAAGAAATTTCATTAATGCTCTATTTAGAAAACCAAGGAAATGATAATGAGAAAGCAACAAGAAGAAAGAACTTGGTTCCATGAAACCTAACTTGGGTTCTACCTTTATCAATTTACTCTTTAATAAATATTACAATTACAAATTATATTAAATTAAAAAAACAATTAAAACAAGTGGATAAAATCTAAAGTACAAACACTGCATATACTTATAAAACATTATGGATTACCTAAGAGTTTTTTTTCCTTTTTTACTTTGTATATAAAAATCAAGAAAAGATAGAAGATAAGGGAGGGAAGAAAAGGTTGTCAAGACTTAACAGTCGACATGCTTCACCATAAAGGAAAAGCTCAATGAGATGATTTTGATGACACTAAAAAAGATCATCATCGGAGTTCAAAGGTCACAAATGTAGTCTCAACAACCTCCTCACACGTTAGCTCGTACAGATGCCAAAAAAATCCCCTTAGTTCTTTTATGTCATTTCAATTTAGTTCCATAGTTCACTCATTTTTTTTTATTTGGTCTCAAATTCTTTGATGATTCTTGAACTTGCTCCTAGATTTCATCATGCCCAAGGCTAATTAAGGCCTAATAAGGGAAAAGAAAGAGATATATTGCTCAATTTGTTGTCTCATTGTGGTCATGTTTATGACTCAGGTCGTGAATTTTATAAGTTTACTCAGGTTAATTAACGTCAATGCAATATGATATATATATTTTTTAAAATTTTTATCATCAATTTTTTTATAGCTCTTCAATTTAGTTTATTTGATAACTGTTTAATTTGATCTTAAATTTCATTACATTCGAGGCCACTTAAGATATAACGAGAAAGTCATGGATAAAAAAGAAGACATATTTCCCAACCAAATTATCTTATTATGGTTGTGTCGATGACCTAGATCACAAATTTTATAGGTTAACCTAGGTTGATTAGGTCAATACAATATGATATCTTTTTAAAAGTTTATCCCTAAATCTTTTATAACTCTTTAATTTAGTCTATTTGATAGCTCTTTAATTTAGTCATAAAATTCATCCCACCATATGCTGTTAAGGCCTAATTAAAGCCTAATAAAAAAAACAAGGGATGTAAAAAAAAAAAAAAGGATGAAAAGAAAAAGACATATTGGCCAATCAAGTTATCTCTTTGTGGTCATGTCCATGATCTATATTGTGAATTTTGAGATTAACCTAGGGTGATCGAGGTTGATACTATATGGAATTTTTTTAAAAAATTTCTTCCTTGGTCCATTTAATTATCTTCAATTTAGTCTCAAATTTCATCCAACTAGAAGCCAATTAAGGTCTAACCAGGGAGAAAAAAAGAGAACAAAAAAAGATAAATTGTCCAACCGAGTTAGCTTATTATGGTCATTCTTGTTACCTAGATAGATTAATTCAGGTCAATACAATATATTATTTTCATTTCACTCCCTAAGTGTTTTCTTATAATTTCTTCTTTAGAGTCTGATAAAGTTAGGCAGAGGTTAAAACAACAATGATATAGTCAATCAGGTTAAGACAACCTATGACATAGATCATAACATTGAGATAATCATAAAAAAAGCAAACTATAACAAATTGTGAAGTCAAATTACTAATAAACCAACTATTAAAGGATATAATTGTTAAGAAAATAATTTAGGTAAATATTATTTTTTATTTTCTAATTAATAAAAGGAAGAGATCAAGGAATCCAACAACTTTAGGTAATCAAAAAATTATTTCAATCATCTAATCAAAGAAGATGATCAAGCATATTTTCTATAATTTATTTTATTTTATTTCCTTGTATCTTGTTATATGACTATATAAACTCTATATAAGTGCAACGCATATACCAAATTATTGAATTAGAACATCCTTTTATATTCTAAATTTCTTTTTAGTATTGAAGCAACTCAATCATATATTACTCTAAATATTAACTTTCACTTTTTTAGTAGGCAACTTTATGTTGTCTATCCAACCACTTTAAAATATTTTGTTTTCAATCTTCTTCATTATCCACCAAATATTTTATTTACTATTCTTTTTTAATGATAAATCAACTCATGATAAGAAGAAGTCTTAAGATCATGTAGATGATCAAATGACATCCAAAGAATACAAAAATAAAATAAAATGAAGGTGCAAGATGACAAAACCCAAAAAGAGAAACTTGTCACATGGTCAATTTTTCATCCTAAAAACAGACCTCGCATGACAGTCTATTCCGAATAAACTTAGTCTTTTCCATGTTAATCCACTTGTGTTTGCAAACAAAAATAAAAGAGACTTAATGCAAGTTGATAAGTTCTTGCACTAAATATAAGATGACACAAAATAAAGACCAGAAAAAAAAAGAAAGAGAATTCTTCCTAAAAAAGAAGAAGAAAAATGGCTAAGGAATCATGATAAAAAGAAGACATTAGCCTGATGAAGAGTGAGTCAAAATAAAATAACCACTTGAAAAAATATATTTGGCTAGAAATATAGCACCAACCATAAGAGAAGAAAAATGGCTAAGAATATTTATGTTTAGAAAAATAAAATTATTAAAGATAAACATATGAAACTATAATGATAATAGAAGTTGTGCATGTCAAACTCATGAAAAATATTTTTCATGAGTTTGAGGAAGCATGTTAAAAAAATAATCAAGGTAAATATTATTGATTATTTCCTAATCAATAAAAGGAAGAGATTAAGGATTCAACAATTTTAGGCAATCAAGAAATTATTTCAATCATCTAAATCAAAAGAGATGATCATACAAATTTTCTATAATTTATTTTATTCTATTTCCTTCTGTTTTTTGTTAAATTGTTATATAAACTCTATATGATTTGAATGTAACATATATATCAAATTATTAAATAATAATACCCTTTTCAATTCTAAATTTCTTCTGAGATTCAGGAAAAAATACATAGATTAAAAAATGCAAAAAAAGAGATATATTGCAATATGACATTTTTTTCCCATTCAAAAACCACAACTTAAAAAAAAGGATGGAAAGTCATGTTTATAATCTGGGTTGTGAGTTTTTCAAGTTAACTCAAATTGATGCAATATATTTTTTTTAAAAAAAGAATTCATCATCAATTCTTTTATATAGCTCTTCAATTTAGTCTCTTTGATAACTCTTCAATTCGATCTCAAATTTCATCCCACCTGAGACTAATTAAGACCCATCTAAAGAAAAAGTAATTGATAAAAAAAAGAGATATATTACCCAACTAAATTACCTTTTTTATAGTCGTGCCCATCATTTATATCATAAATTTTGCAATTAACTTAGGGTGACTGACATCATATAACACCCCGAGATTTCCTCATGATAAAAGTGATTTCCATGAGCTTTGAACTCATGAAAAAAAAGTGATTTTTTTAAATATTTATAACGTTTTAGTTCTACATATAATGTATTATAATAAATAATAAACGGTTAAGAAAATAAATTAGCATTTGATGTAATAGAAACATAATGACTAAGAAATGAGAAAAATATAAATACTTTTTTTGTTTGGTTATAACTCTCAGAAATTTAATAATATTTGAAC